ACTCCTCTATTAACAAAAAAATTGGTTTGAGAGAGTCTGGCTTTCATAATGCGTACACACAGTGCCGTGAATTTTTTCCCACCTGCTTTGCATTAAATCTCTTTGACACTTATTGAATTCATGTGCTTATCTACTTTTGATTTTCACTGTAGGCTACAACTTCCATACTATAAGGCAAGACTGCGCGGCTTACCAGGTGGAGGAATTCGGATGACATGTTATGACATGACGAATTAACGCTGTTTTTCCTATCCTTTCTAATGCATATGGTGAAGAGCATGAACTGCTTGCCCGTTCTCTATGTAATCTAATGACTTTATACTGTGAAAAAGACTATCCACTTCCTGATCACTACGACTTCTTATTTTTTAATTTAATATTTAGACAGGTGTGTTAAGTGCCATCTGACTGTTCTGGTGTGGGTCATTTTAGCGCACTTTAAAGCACAAGAACCCACTTTTTAATGGCCCACAAAGGAAGTAGACATACTCTGCAAAAGTTCGATGCATAAATTATTTATTACACATTTCAATTTAAGCTCAAATATTTGTTTACTCTGACTGAATCCGACAGTCTACTCTGTGGGTGGGTAAAGGCCACGCATTTAGGACACATTAGAATGGGAAGAAAGGAAAAATTCTTTGTGGAATATTTGCGAGTGATGTGAAGCCAGATGTTGCAATATAATCCTTATTAAGCACACAATCGCAATTTGCAAGATTGCCTTCCTATTTGTGTGTGCGTGTGTGCTGGGGTCTGCATGAATGACCCTGAGTGCAGCCCTCTGATTGGCTAACCGAGAGCGAATTAAAAGCTTGCCTACGCCCAAGCTGCTTATTTCGCCCCGCACGGTACGCGTCAGTCCCCTGGCCTGCGTGTTGCGTACGTTCCTTGCTCTGCTTTTCTTTGCGACGCTTGGTTGTGTTTCTTAAAGCCATGCTTTTCATTTTTAATTTGCATCATACGCACACGTCACAGTTATTTCACGAGAACAAAAGCTTAATATTGCCATTAAATACTAACGATTTAAGCATATAATTGTGAAAATGTTTCGGCAGAATTGTTTAATGTCCCAAACATTTTGCCCTTATAAGTAATAACGGAAAGATTTATTCTTCCCTCTTGATGAATCCTATAAACCCAATGCTGATGCGCTTCTGAAGTGAAGAGGAAATTATTCTGAGACCCTATTGTAATTACCACTCAAATTCCTAAGGTGGGATCTATCAAAAGTGCCGCACATTGTCGTGTGATTTAAGCAAGGGTAGTATTAATAGATGACTTGGTTATTTTTTATTAAATAGTTGTACCCGACCTTATCGGCTTGTGAGGCCAAGGGCTATGAGGTCCTACCGAAATGCACATCATTTAAGGTTTAGGCTGTATTGTTTACATGAGCGAAGTAACTGAGCACGAGGAGGCAGATAATTAGAGCATGGCAGCCCTCATCTTACCACCGATTTTCGCCACCTCGCTAAGGAAAATAACCATTCATTATTTTTTAGCACGGTGCCCCACTTTCCCCTTTGTTTCTTTCACTGATTGGCATTTAGAATAAGCACTTGATGCATTCTGGTTATACCACATCACCATTCTAAGTTAGTGTGATAAGTGGTGCTAGTTTCACAAGCGACCTTCTGATATAATTTTTGAGGCTATCAGTGGTCATTAAAAAGACATTTTCAAGGATCACACGTGATTTATGCAACCTTTTAGCTTTTGAAGTACATTTGGTGTTTTAGCTCAATTGATTGTACTATTCAGCGCCGCTATTCATCCATAAATTCAGCTTCAAACGTTGTGTAACCACTCACTCCGCTCCGCTCCTTCCCTTTTGATATTAAGGTTGTTATGGTGGCGCCAAATTAGATGTCATTAAGGGAAGGTAGGTAGTCCATTAAAGTCAATTTGTTAAACATCTCTACGGGGATTCTATAGGGGCGGGGGAGTGACATGTACAAGATTTTGCTTTTTTGTTTTGATTTTACCCCAGTATCACATGAGGCAGTACTGAAATTCAGCCTGTCATTCCAATATCAAGGATAGGAATAGAAAGCAGGCCAACTCGAGATGAAGATGCTAATGACAAAGGGAATCCTAATGCTATCTTTAGCTACTGGATTGGCCCCTTATATCACTGCGGAAGCATCGAGATCAGTTTTCTTTTGGGTCAGTAAATGATGCAGATTGCTGAGATGGCTTAGACGAGGGCTTCGTATTAATTCTTTGCAGTAGTTGGTGAGGAAGTGAGGTGACGTATCTTGAGGTGGGAATGAAGGGAACGTAAAAGTGCTTGTAAAAGTGGTTTTAGTGATCATTCTTTCCTGATACATAGGTCTGAAACTAATTTTTTTCCTATGCATACAACATTTTTTCCAAATCTTTTTCGATTTTGCATCTCCTGTTTTAACCTTTATTTGCCTTTATTACTTGAAGTAATGGCTGGCTATCCTCCACCTGTTGGATTTAACACCAATCTCGACGCTCCAGCGGGTTATCCCCCACAGGGTCCGATGGGATTCCCTCCCCAAGGGGGATATCCACCCCAGGGAGGTCAAATGGGGTACCCCCCTCAGGGCCAAATGGGTTACCCCCCTCAGGGCCAAATGGGCTATCCACCACAAGGCCCAATGGGGCAACTGCCACCCCAAGGTCAAATGGGTTACCCTCCCTATGGAGGTCAACCCGGCTACGGTGGCGCGCCTCCTCCTCAAGGCGGTTATACTAATGGTGCGTTGTTGCTAATCAGAATTTCAGTATTGTTTGACTATCTTTCGAGACGGTTAAATATACCAAGGACACTGGTTTAGTGAGTTCCGAATAGACTTAGCAATTACATGCACATAGGTAGGTAAGGTACACTTTATTCGCTTTGATAGGTCATGCACTGTCTTCTTTATGCTGTTCGTATGTCGGCACAAGCTACGTTAATTTATCCGTACGCTACAAGTTTATCTGAGGACTCATTTTTTATTTAAATGGTGAAATAAGAGAGTTGACTATCCGCCTCGGTATCGCAAAAAGTGTCGATCCAGTATACTATAAAGGTCACCGCAGATCCTTGGATGCCTCATGTTGCACAGTACGATTACACAAACTTATGGTATTTATACCAACTTTGGAAAGGTTGGTATAAATTAGGTAATAAGTCGTCGTATTTGAGGATCTTCGCTTTTTCGGTAAACTGTTGGCTGAACGGGCTGGATACTCGATTTTGTGGGACTGGTTTGTATTGGACGGTTTTAAATTTTTATGTCTACTTTCTCACTAAAATTGTACTTCCTTTCCCGTTCACCTCTCTTCCACCCTAGTGAATGGTCTATTTCTTAAAAAAAAACGCTTCTGTTTTTCAATAGCCTTCATACTCAGTTTCCCGTTCGAAATGCAGATTAACACCAAAAATGGTCACTACGCTCCTTTATTCATATTAAATTAGCTAATTCAGCTTGGATATGTAGCTTTGCGATGGGATGAAAATAGGATATAATGGTTTCTTGTTCTTTAAGTTTCAGGCTATGGGCCTCCTCAGCCCATGGGTCTCGGATATGGAGCTGGAGCTGTTGCCGGCCCTTCAGGGTCATGTGGTGGAGGGGCTGCTATGGGATTTCTCTCAATTTACTACAGTGGAAGACCAACAGTTGTTCCAATGCCCTGCTTCAATCCATGCGATGATGCTGAGAATCTGCGCAAGGCTATGCGTGGACTGGGTAGATTTTCGTTGTTTAAGTTAAAAAAAACTGAAGTTTTTATGATGAGGAAAAATGGGTTTTATGTTACACTTACTCTTTGAATGCCATGTTTTGCCTTTTAAAATTCCTACCGTCTGGAGTGTATGAATCAAGTCTTTACACTCTAGATGCCTCTAGGGTGCCCTTGCAGCCTCTGAGAAAGCTCGTCAAAGGGAAAATACAAATGTCACCATTTTTCGTTGGATCGGGAATACCAAACATAATGATCTTAAGGGATCACTTTTATCATTGCCCCATGCGTCAAGTCTAACCAGGTAGTTTAAACCTTCCAAAAGTGCAGTCTGCTTTTGTAAAGTCAGTAGGAGAGTTGTTTGACAGAAAAACAGATGCCCCCTTTATCATTCAAACGGTATTTCGTTTGGAACATTAAAATCTCACATTTCAATCCCCTTACACTTCCTATTTGACGCCTTAAATACGGAGATGAAAGGAGTAAGAAAGCAGCTAAACGTTGATTTAATCATGAGGACTGGTTCTTAAGGTGCCTAACTTATTCTCGTTCTATCGCTTATCAAAAGCGTTAACCATGTAATGGGATGTGGTAGAAGCGATTTCACACCCCTAAAGGTGTTTCTCATTAACATGGGGATGAATCATAGCATTTACTTTTTTCCAGGTACTGATGAAGGCTGCATTATTGCAGTCCTCTCGAAACGCACATGTGGCCAGCGTTCGGAAATAGCCAAGAAGTACAAGGCATCTTTTGGCAAGGTATTTTCGGATTTTCATAATTGAGATTATCTTTGGTTTAAGTAACAAATAGGGCGGTAGCTAATTATGGTTTTGATTTGGTTTTAGGATCTTGATAAGCACCTAAAAAGTGAACTCAGTGGAAAGTTTGAGGAACTGGTCTTACTGAGTTTGGAGACTTTGCCCGAGATGCTAGCCACCACGATGTATGATGCCATGAAAGGCGCTGGAACGGATGAGCGGCTTCTCATTCAAGCTCTTGTGCCCTATTCCAATGCAATTGTTGGCGAGATCCCCAAAGCCTACAATAGAAGTAGATTTAGTTTTTTATTTCTTATTTAATTAATTACTGCACTCTTCATTAATCCATTCTAATCCTTCACTCATTTTGACGTTGTAAAAATAGTGGGACTTTTTAATGCATTTTGCGCCCTATTGTGGTGTGGGCTGGTTGGCATTCATCCAATGCACCCCAAATGTAACCAACTGCCTTGTAGTTTTTGCTACGAGGTTACAGTAAATCACACACCAAACAAATGATCACTTCGGCTTTTTCCACGCAGAATACGGACGTGATATCATAGCGGATGTACGCAGTGACACGAGTGGCGACTTTGAGAAGATTTTGGTCGCTCTGTTGCAAGCTCAGCGTGAAGAGGG